CAGCCTCTGGCAATGTCATTATTGTATACACAACCTCCAAAATTGGCATAGTTAATTTCAAATTGTCTTTTATCAATTTACAAAAGATTCTGAGTAGATGGGGTATATACTTTTCCAAATATTCAGTCTCGATATTCTATGCACACTGAAAACGTACAATGTACCCATTTCACCTTCAATTTTGGCCATGTGGGACAGGTTAAAATTCTGGAAAAGTTTGATAATGAAACTTCAATTACCCTACTATAACGTACATTAAAGTCCATCTTGTGTATTTAATGTCTTATATTTTTAATTGGCACCTGAAATCTGTGCGGTGATGAAGTTTTAATGGCCGTTATCAAAATTGTCGACTTTTCACGTTGATTTTAAAATTACTTCTAAATGACCTACACCCCTTAAATATGTCTATAGAGTAAATGTTTGCGTAGATTACGAATATGCAATCATTTTGGGTATACATTTATTGTTTTAATTTTTATTTGGCCTCCCAAATGAGAAAAAAATGTCTATTCCGCTTTACAAATTGGAATATTGAGCTTTGACAATCAGATTAAAATTAATTCTGAAAGATTTAGGCACCACATATGTCATTTTAAAGCAACTTATACTGTAGAATAAGAATACAGACTCATTTTGGCTACAGGGAGTATGTTTCAATTTAATTTTGCTTTCAAAAACAGGGGAAAATTGTATATGTCTTAGAAAGTTGAAGTACAGTAATGTTGTTACACTATCACTTTACACCTGAAAACTACAGGCCGCAATTCTTAACGCATGGTCTTGAAACTTTGCATACTTATTCCTTACAACCCAAGGACGTTTCCTATTGTTTTGGTGCATGCCCAAACCGGGTCAGAGCCACACCCATTTTTTCTTTGTGTGTGTGTGTTTTGCTTACAGGGCGCAATTCTTAATGGATTGTCTTGAAAACTATTCATATATATTCCTTATACCCAAAGGATGACTTACTATTTTTGGTGCATGCCCGACCCTCAGGGGCACAGCAACACCAGATTTTTGTGTTATCGTCCACAGGCTGCAATTCTGAGCTTTTGGTGCATGCCCGACCCCTGTCACGTTCCAGGATGATCGATTCAGAATTGCGGCCCCTAGGCGATAAAAATTCAAAAATGGGCGTTGCTGTGCCCCTGGGGTCGGGCATGCACAAAAAATAGCGGTCATCCTAAGGTATAATGAATAAGTATGAAAAGTGTTCAAGATGATCAAAACACAAAGACAGAGAAAACATAGGCGTGGCTCGCACCAAGAATAGGGAACATCCTTAGGGTATAAGGAAAAATTAGTATACAGTTTCAAGACGAAGCTTTAAGAATTGCGGCCTGTAGTTTTGAGGCGTCTAGTGATAGTGAACTACATAAGGCCTCAACTTTCTAAGGAGACAAAACAAGTTTTCAACTTTTTTTTTAAAGCAAAACTAAATTGAAACGACACTCCCTGGATCCCAAAAGGAGTCTTTATTCTTATTCTATGTTAAGAGTTGATCTAAAATGACAAATTTGAGGGACCTAATTTTCAGAAATAATTTTAATCTGATCATCAAAACCTATTATTCCAATTCGTGAAGCGTATTAACCATTTTGATCTTAGTTGGACGCAAAATAAAATTAGAACAATACAATAAACATCCAAAATAATTACATATTTATTGTAATCTACGCAAAAAATCACTACAAATATAAACGTTTGAGGAGTATAGGTCATTTAGAAGTTATTTTAAAACCAACATGAAAAGACAACAATTTTTATAACAGCCAGTAAAATTTCATCACCGCACAGATTTCAAGTGCCAATTAAAAATATAAGCCATCAAATACACATGATGGACTTTTATGTATGTTATAGTAGGGTAATTGAAGTTTTATTATCAAACTTTCAGAATGTTAACCTGTCCCACATGGCCAACATTGAAGGTGAAAATGTGTATATTTTGTACGTTTTCAGTGTGCATTGAATTTCGAGACTGAATATTTGGAAAAGTTTATATCCCATCGATCTCTTTTGTAAATTGATATAAGACAAACTGACATTAACTATGCCAATTTTGGAGTTTGTGTATTCAATAGTGACTTTGCCATAGGCTGTGGAAATTCTGAAAATAAAAGTGAATAGTTCATTTGTTCCACATTTTGCCACCTGGTGTCGCGAACAGAATGCATTGGACAATGGGTGATGCTAAATTCACAATCTTCACCAAAAGTTGTCTTAGATTACAAAGTTAGAGAGTTCTACTCCTATTATAATTAGAGCATCCGAAAACCTCAAAAAAATTACTGAATTTATAATCCGTTTCAGTACCCTGATTTAAAATGGCCATATCTCAGCGAGTTTCCAACATGGAGAGGTAAAATTTCGGATTTCTTAGTTTAAGGCAATATATACTATTCAAAAAAAGTAGGGGATATTTGATTTTGGGGGCATAATACTAAAATATGCAAATGACTACGAAAAAAGTCACTATAGAACCTAACAGAAGAAACATTTGCAGTTACATATGACACCCAAACGCACCAATAGCTACCGCATGGAATGCAGGTGATGCTTGGGATCATCATGGGGGTCCAACCCAAGATTTGCACGACTCTGACTTTGAATGTTACAGTCATTGTGGCATTGAATTCCAGGGTGGAAACATCAGTTTAATTGTTTTAGTGACCAGAAAACAAATTTTGATATGCGTCGGCTTACCCAAAATGAAAGGTTACGTGCCCTTGGCATGCTACAGATCGGCACAACACAGGCGGTTGTGGCGCGGACGATGAATGTTTCTCAGTCTGTCATAAGCAGGCTATGGTCCAGATACCGTGATACACAATCTGTACAGGACAGACCACGCTCAGGTCGACCAAGGGCGACAACTCAAGGCCAGGATCGATTTATCCGTACCTTGGCCTTGAGAAATCGTGTCATCACAGCAAATCAGATCAGCGCTCGTCTTCAAACAGACACAGGTGTGAGAGTGAGTGGCCAGACGATTCGGAATCGACTGCATAGGGGTCACCTTCGCGCCCGACGTCCTCGCGTGATCCCTTGTTTGAGAGATCATCACATTCAGGCAAGACGTCGTTGGTGTAGAGATCGTCAACACTGGGATAATCGACGCTGGAGCAATGTGATGTTTTCAGATGAGTCAAGGTTCACTGTTGATTTTTTGGACAGACGTAGGAGGGTGTGGCGTCGTCGAAACGAGCGCTTCCAAGACGTTAACGTCATCAGACATGATCGATTTGGGGGTGGTTCTGTTATGGTGTGGGGAGGCATCACTGTTGCTGGAAGAACGGCTTTACATGTTGTTGCAGGGCGTGTTACAGGCCAGTACTACCGGGACAACATCTTGGCAGTCCATGTTGTGCCGTTCGCACGACGTCATGGCCGCCGTTTCATCTTCCAGGATGACAACGCAAGATGTCACAGGGCCAGGATCGTTACAGGTTACCTCCAACAACAGAACATCACCACATTACCTTGGCCAGCACTGAGTCCCGACCTCTCCCCCATCGAGCATGTCTGGGACATGCTTGGACAGAGGTTACGTCAACGTCAACAACGTCCTGCCAATGTCCAAGAACTTGCTGCTGCGTTGCAACAGGAATGGGACAATCTGGACCAAAATGACCTTAGACGTCTCATTAGGAGTATGCCACGTCGGATCAATGCTTGTTTGGCAAACAGAGGAGGATTTACCCGTTACTGACTTGGTTGTGATGCTGTGGTAACTTTGCTGTTTGACCCCGGGTATCATGTTAGCCTTATAATGGTCAGTCTGTGCCTTACTTAGTCTAACGATCATTTGGAATAAATCGATGAATGTGAACTTCATTTCATTTTGTCATTTGTTTCTTCGTCAGTTTCATTAGGTGACTTTAATAACACTTAAAAATCAAATATCCCCTACTTTTTTTGAATAGTATACTATAACATTTTTTATAATTTTTTTGGGAGCTGGTCATGTTCCCACCATTGGTCCAGTTGATATGGAATAACCCATATGATTTAAAAAGGGGTATTGGCAGTGCAATAGTGTATTGTTGACAATAGTTTATTTTGGACATTTGTATCCAAGGGCCACTATTCAGTATTGGAAAATAATACTGTAGTTTGCAACAAGATGGTGTCACTTTACCTTGCCCTGAAACACTCAAGAAATACGGTCAGACAATTAGATTCAAGAATGTAGGAAAAATGTTGGTACATGTGTATTTTGGCGTGTATTTTAGCCTAATTTTACGAAGTTGGCCGAATGCAAGTGATTCAATTTAATCAACACTTCTCAATAGGAATTGAAAAGAGGGAAATCGTCAGTTGAAATATAGATTTAAATGTGCCATTCAAATACAGTAGTTTACAAACTATACTCGTCCATATTAGGCCTATGGATGGGATATAAATTTTCAACAAAATTTTGTCCGAAAAGATAAGTTACACTGAAACTGGCCATCAAGCAAATTTTGTGGATTTGGAATAGTTTGATACATGTTCCAGTGCATAGTATTATATATTCTCGTGTCTATGGTCAACATACTTAGAACCCACACTCGGAATAATGGCCATTATTATTTCACTCCATATAGAAGCTATATAGACTAGTCTCCCTTGATGATTGTTTACATTTCAATCTTTTAAACAATACGGGATATCCGGAAGTTATTTATACAATAGTTTGTTGCTTCTTCACAATATGCTAAACCTAAAGCTGAACTACAAAATATTACAGCCTGCGTTTCCTTGGTGTAGGCAGTACCGTCTTATTTCAATTTGCTTTTTAGAGTTTTAATAAGGTGAATATTTTCGATTTCAATCCTTTATATTGTCTTGTTGATTGGGTTATACAGTATAATCATGGACATTTATTTAAAATAAACCAAAGGTATGTACTTCTCTAATTTATCTCGTGTTTGTTGCCAGTAAACTCGACCTCAGCCTCAGTTTTAAATTGATGGTTTTGACATCAAATTTGAAAATAACTTACATGTACTTACTGTTTGTTTTCAGGAAATCGATAATTTATGATGAAATAAAACTAATCCTATGTCTATAGGCCAGAGAAGCAGTTTCGGTAACACAATTAATAAATCCATCAGACTTGGTTTGGCTGCATTCTTTGACTTCGTTTAGTGATAAATCAGTTTATTATCCGCCCTGCACGATTTTCTCTACCTGCAAATGTTTTAAATTTTGGCGCTCACAGACTTTATATACACTCGAAAAACAGCGACATCTAGACATTGGTTTAAGAGGGGTGGGAACTCGTCGTTTATTGTTTACCGGTACTCGAAATATGGACTTAAAGGGATAACGTGACGTAATAAAAAGATAATCTTGAGAGGAAGAATCTTGATAGATTTTAAAAAAGTGGTAGTCCCAGAGTTATATCCCCTACCGCAATAGGGAAAGGGGTCATCTTTGAATTCACATTTCTGAAATTCTTATAAGGTGAATTGGACTGAGTGTGGACAAGAAATTAAACATGCATTGTGGAACAACTAAATCTTCCTATTGCAGGTCTTTCTTTAGGCCTGCAATTTTTTCTAAATTATTAATAAGGCATTAAAGCTGCATTGGGTAAGACTAGATAAAGAACTGGCTATAATAGTTCAAAACTAGATAATGTAAAGAGAGTATGCTGAAAAAAGTTCAGTCCAATTACTTCACCCTGAGCCAAGATATTAGCGATAGAATTATAAGCTAGCCTCGATCGTCATTACTACCGTTACGATAATAAACAAGTCGCGATTATTCATTTTTATGGTAACCACATCCACCAAAAAACGTCCTTGAATCCACTAAATATCGCTGACATCCGATGGTATCAAGAGTTGATTATGGTCTTGGTAAGTTAATTAATGTCTACTTAAACATGCATTATGCAAGAGCTAAATCTGATTATTGCAAGTCTTAATTTAGGCTTCAGATGTTATAGAAATTATAAATTAGATCTTTATTTAAACAAGAAGACCAAAATCAACTCTGTAGACCCACGGATGGCTCGGCTACAGCTCGGATTTAAATAGGATTTCACTAATTGATTAAATCAAATAAGGGATAACCTGATGAAAATACGTCAGTTAGATCGAGGCTAAATGATAGAGTGTACTTAGCGAGGCCGCTGTAAAGCGTTTCGGTATGCCATTGAAAACTTTACTTGATAATCGAGATATGTAGGTGGAGTTAACGCCTGTCAATCAAACGATCAGCGAAGGTGAAGACACAATTCGCTACCATTTCTAGGCAAATATTACAACGATGATAACTATGTTCAGAATAAAGTAATTTGACTGATTTTTTCAATATATTTTTCTTTCATCATCTACTTTTGAACTGTTATAGCAAGAATGGCCAACTCTCTATAAAAATCTCCCATAATGTATCTTTAATAATTTAGATAAAATGCCTAACGGAAGGCCTGCAATAGGCAGATTTAGATCTTGCAATATGCATGTTTAATTAACTTACGCTACTTGAGAATCGCACAGAATAAAGTAATTTGACTGAGATTTTCAAAATATTCATTTTGTATTATCTATTAAATCTTGCATAATGCATTTTAACTGAGATTTTTTTTATAAACACACATCAACATAAAATACATCCATAGCAAGCTTCAAAAAAGAAAAGTTTAATTGACTTTTATATACTACAGGTTATACAAGACACAATTATATTACTATTGAGTTTCCAATATGTTAGATATAAAATATTATTAAACTTCAGAGGGTATAACTGTTAATAACTCGAAAAAAAATTGTTTTATGTATCAAGTTTCATTGAGCCAGAATTAAAAAAAAATATTGCAACTGAAATAAAAATGTTTTAATCATGTTTTAATCACGAGGAACGGCTCGCCTTTATTGACTCACTACGCTCTGCAAGCATCTGGTTTGCGCCACCACCCCTGATTTTGTATCCGCCTGTGCACCTAAATAACATTTTCTCGTTTCTAACCGACCCCACAGAAAAATCATTGCATATATTGAGCCAGAATTAAAAAAAAATATTGCAACTGAAATAAAAATGTTTTAATCATGTTTTAATCACGAGGAACGGCTCGCCTTATTGACTCACTACGCTCTGCAAGCATCTGGTTTGCGCCACCACCCCTGATTTTGTATCCGCCTGTGCACCTAAATAACATTTTCTCGTTTCTAACCGACCCCACAGAAAAATCATTGCATATATGGTGATGTGGACTCACTGATTCAACTGAAAGATTCCCCCACCTTTGTACATCTGTCTGTTCACTATAGGAAACCAAATGACCAATCTGATTAAAATACAGATCTATATTTCGTTTCGTTTTTTTTATACTTTCGATGGCCTACACTACATGAAGATCTGACAAGTTATAGCCTTAGGTCACGTCAGGGGTCACAAGACCGACTTATGACCATATGATGTCAGACATTTGATTAACCAATCAGCATTGATGTTACTAGTGGATACCCACAGTTCCGTGCAAAACACGCCTAAAGCTCGCCGTGACAGACCGTTTCATTGGCTTATCCCTGAAACCATTCAGAACACGAGTTAAATAACAACTCTTCCAGATCCAAGTGTAGTAAAGGCAAGTAAAACGAAATTTTGAACTATAAAAACGAAACGAAATAGGATCTGTGTTTTAACCAGATTGCCAAATGACGGAATTTTATCAGTTTAAAAACGATTGAACTGAAGATATAGTAACCAGGGGAGGTTTTCCAACATAGTTCATGATGTGATTGATTTTGTATTTGGTTCAATATTTAAAGATACATTATGTGACATTCGATAAAGAGATGGCAGTTCTCACTATAATAGTTAAAAATTAGATAATGTAAAGGCAATTTGCTGAAAATTTCATTCAAATTGATCCACTATGAACAGCCAACAAAGCGATTGAATTTCCGCCTAGCCTTGATCATCATTACTAAAGTCAGTACGTTAAACAGCATAGTCTCGATTATCCATTTAATCGTTAAATCGTGAAGGAAAGTTATGCAGTAAATCGGCTCACAATCCACTAAAGATCGCAGGCTAGCGATGCCATCTAGAGTTGATTATGGTCTAGAATGTCTAATAATTTAGATAACATTTCAGGCCCAAAGAAAGACCTGCAATTGGCAGATTTAGCTCTTGCATAATGTATGTTTAATGATGAAATTATCAATGATTATGGACATTTTTGTACCGCATCTCACAGTTCCCAGGATTAAAACTCCATTTTGCAGTATACTATTGGACCGTTATTGTGACCCCTTCACTTAGTCCTTGTTACGGAGCTGAAAGGGACACCCATCTAATATTCAGATGGAAAATTAGTTGGAATAAGTGGGGTAAAACCATAATCCCATTTGCTTTTATCGTTTCATTAGGTTTCTGTTCTTAGTTTTCTTCTTTTAAAAACATTTACCACCATTTTACGGAATTCTTCTCGTTTACACAAATACACAATACAGTTTATTAACGAATTACATGTCCCCAACAACACAAACAGCCTTGCTACAGGAGTGAAAGCTGGTTGCCTAGTAACGGTCATATAGAGAAAATAAACAACCAGTGGACTCCAAAATAAAAGGAACATAAACAACACAACTGCCATCATTTTCGTCTTTTTAATCTGCCATCGTCGTGATCTGAAAACAACGCTGCCATGTGGCAAAACGGTAGGTTTCGCCAATGTAGCGAACACACGAATGTACATAAATACCGATATGATTATTAGAAATGTTATAAAGCAAATATTGATGACGCTCATGATATTGGGTTCAAAAGTACAAAGTATTTCATTAGTCCACTGGTTTCGTCGGACCATGGAACAGACAGCAATAATCACTGCAACAAACCAACCCCCAATGCCTGCAAGTAGGGCTTTCTTGTTTGTGGCCAACGCGAGGTGTTTCAAAGGATACAGAATGGCAAAGTATTTTTCCAAAGCAATGAAGAACAGACATTGGACCGAGAACGTTAAAGCTAATATCCACGAAAAGGGAATCACACAGCAAGGCACAGCTACTTGAAAATATTTCTGGGCAACAACAACATATAAATCAAATGGTAAAACAAAAGTTCCGATTAAAATATCCGCACTAGCTAAATTGGCTACAAGAACATCTCCTGGTTTTCGTAGTTGCCGGTGAGTCAAAACGGCGGCAATAATAACGGCATTTCCAAGTGATATTAACAGTATCAATAAAACTTCTATTGTCACAAGCATTGCGCCCCAGCTGGCCCCCTGATGCACATTCATTGTAAATACCAGATTTTAGTCTAAATCGGGCCTAATCGACAAGTCTACTTTGCTATGATTTGGCTTAGGTTAATGTTTCACTATTTTGGCTCCGTGTACTGTACAATTTCTGTATCTTCATTGACTTTTATGATCGACAGCTAGGACACATGGACCAGCAAAGCAGTTTGCCTTTCTTTACATAACAATTGGCAGCAAAAGTCTGACTGAACTTCTTCAGAATCAAATATTAAAAAGTACGCGATGTCGCTCACAAACCAACGAACGAAAGGTAGCTCATCGACCAAGTTTTGACAGGTTTCACCGAGAACTCTGTACTGTACTATATTCGCTAGATTTCATATTCCGAGGGTTGGTTGAAGCTGTATGTAAGCATCACATGAGACAAATATGCCACAGATAATGAAACATATGACCAAAGTAGGCTACATGATGTCGCTATCAAACAACAATTGAAATTGATATGAAGCCATACATCCACATTAGCCTAGCTAATCAACGTCATCCAGATACTGTATATATACCTAATCGTTATATTGGCTTCTAGGGTTTTATTTAAAGAAACGTGAATCAGAATATTAAAATAACAAGGGATGAAAGAGCATTGGGCTATGAACAGATCGATTCATCAATCCTCCATGCAGTGAACTCAGTACAAATTGCCATGTCAAAGATATCACCGGAAACCATAGAATACACGACTCGTGTACTGATTATAAAATGTTCATTGTGTCTTAAATACTGAACATTAGGGCAAGATAACAACATCAATATTGGTTGAAATTGACAAGTATTAATTCTAATTCGTGTTTTTAATTTCGAATATTATCAATAAGATAGAGTTAACAGGTTTAGCTCCTTTAATGACAATAGTCCCTCGATGACCATATACTACACAGAATCCCAGACACGACGTTCTCAAATATCGCAAACGTTACATAAGCCAATTTCCTTATTTGTTTTCTTTTAGATAAATTTGTAAAAGATCAGTTACCCACACAATATTTGTAAATGCAATCTGGTTAAAACACAGATCCTATTTCGTTTCGTTTTTATAGTTCAAAATTTCGTTTTACTTGTCTTTACTACACTTGGATCTGGAAGACTTGTTATTTAACTCGTGTTCTGCTAGAAATGAGGGGTCAGCCAATCAAATGGTCTGTCGAATCGAGTGTTTGACCTTTTTTGCCCGGAACTGTGGGTAATCCACTAGTAACATCAATGCTGATTGGTTAATCAAATGTCTGACGTCATAGGTCCAAAGTTGGTCTTTTGACCCCTGACGTGTCCTATCGCTATAACTTGTCAGATCTTCATGTAGTGTAGACCATCGAAAGTATAAAAAAAACGAAACGAAATATTGATCTGTATTTTAATCAGATTGTTGTAAATGGAACAAATCCAAGAATTGTATTTAATTCACGAATGTATCTTTAAAGTAACATTTTTTTATCTTGGATAAATGCGGCCATTTTTTCTTGATAGTTTAGTTTTATTACGCAATTCATTGCAGAGAAACAAACCCAAACGACCATTTTCCTTTCTTTAATTAATTAGAAACATAGTGATTATTGTTTTACATGACAACAAAACATTAAATGACATCCAAATGTCAAAACAGTGACGTGGTGGAAGTTATTGAAACGGAAAAAATGCTAAATGTATCTCATCAAATGCAATTTACAGATATGATGCCTTTAATTGTTATTTGGATCGATATCTAGAAAGTTTTCTACAAAAATACACAATACACTGTAAACTTAAAACAACAGGTTATAACACAGCTACATATACAAATACATTATTTAGTTGACCATTACAAAGCAGCCATAGGTGTATAACATGGAAAATCTCTTTGAAAATAACATTAATGTGAGGCTAAGTATTATGCCAAAAGTCTATTACGTTCGTATTCATATAAGCACGGTAATCACATTCGGGAGCAAATAACTACACTGGAACAACAGAGAAGTCAGTGCTAATGCCGAATTCTATTTAATTCGACATTTAGTGTTTTCATTTCACTCCTGACAAGGACCGATTGGGCCTTTTTTTTATCGCAAATGAAGACACTGGCTTCAATTGCAGGTTACAAACACAATACCGTAGGCAAAATAGTAAGCAAAAAGCAAGTGTCAATGAAATCAAGTGGATAGTGTAAAAAAAACATAAAACGTCGAGTGCTCTTCCTAGTTGACTAACCCGCTACACTGCTACTATCAATTTATCTAACAGAATGTTAACAAAAATAGTTTAGCAGTAGATTATGTTGACACTGTAAAACAATGTTTGTGTTTTGTACTGTGTGTTATTCGTTAATTGTGACCTAGCATTCTGTTGCCGATGCCACTGCTTCCTGTGTCGTCTTGGGATTAAATTGTAAAAACTAGTAACTTATTTGTCAATTTTAAATAGTAACTAAATAATATCAAGGAGTTTTAGGTCGAATTTTCATCTCCACTTTCTTAAGAGAATAAAATTCGCTCTCTTTCCATGTGTACCATGAAATACCGTCAGCGTATTTGGATTGTGCCTGTGGATACCAGGCAGTGTGGTAAATACCATTCAGATGACAGGAGTAACAACTGTTAAACCACCAACCACCTTTATTCTCAGCAGCACAATTCCTAGTATGAAGATCGTTATCTACATCTTCGGTGCTGAATACCATGTTGTCATGGTAACTAAACGAATCACCAGCATCACCATAGTAACCACCAATGTGGAGACGAAACTGCTGCTCTGCATCTTCTACCGAGAAAGAGTTATATTCAGCATAGGCTTTGTTTCCTTCCCAATCCCAGATATCAACCCGTAGTACGTATTGTTTTTGGGTGGTCAGAGCATGCATCTTGTCATTTCCTATCCAGAACTCGGCGTACGGATTACCGAAACCATATCTATATTCTAACCACCTTCTATTAAAGTTCAATAAACCATCAACACGTCTCTGTAGTACAGTATACCCCGTTCTATTTACCATTTCACAATAAACCGAATCCATAAAATGTGTTCCATCGGGTTTAATAGAGTAAACACCACTAACTGTAAACCCTGCCATATATAGCTCATGACAATCTGAAAACAAAAACAATATAACATGAAAACCTGACATAATCAACACACGAAAATATTAACATGACCATCTGAATATATCAACCATATAATCTGAAAATCTGAAGAAAAAAAAACAACCATATAACATGAGAATCTGGAAAAATCAACCATATAACATGAAAATCTGAAAATATCAACAATATAACATGGATATCTTAAAATATCAACAATATAACATGAGCTTATAAGATGGTAATTTGGAAATATAAACGATGTAACATGACAATCTGAGAATATGAACAATAATTCCTGACAAACTAAAATATCAGTAAGATAACATTACATAAGCACGATACATTTTTACATGATCGTATTACTCTAATAAAAAAAGACCATTTAAACTGTAATTATGTAAAGAGTTGTTGTAGAGTGGGGCACGGCAACCCATACCGGAAATATTCGTTAAGCTTATTATACTTAAATTTGTAGGCTACCGCGGATGGCTTTATTGCACTGAGCCCTATCAGCTATCAAGAAATATCGCATGTCTGTGACTGATTGTTTACGGAGTTAGTGACCTTGCTCGTTATAGATGGGTGTGTATATGATTAAATTAAGACGATTGGTCCTTTTGGACTGGGTAGACGGATATTGTGTCACCCAATACAATATTTTGTTTCTTTCAATTCCTACCATGCCAGTTCAGGTTATCACAAAATAAATCGAAGAATGTTGTGTCTGAATAACCGACGAAAGCCTTCTTTTAACTCTTTAGAAGATGACTGCCCTTTTAAAGTTCATATGCATTATAGTTCTACGTGTGACGTTACATCATACGTAGTCGATAGGACGTTAATTGTTTACATCCGACGTATAGTAACACAAACGGATCCCAGCAAAAATGGTGCCTTTTATCCATTTTATGCCTTTATGTATCGTACTATTTTATGTACTCATTTACACTAAATAGGATATATTTTTTATCAGATATACTTCGAACACATTTTTTTTCTTAATACATGTATTTTAAAAAAAAATGTTTTAGAAATTTATTGCAGAAGAAAAAAAAGTTAATATCAAGAGCTAATTAACTCGCCCCGATGTCATCCCTTTCAGTGATAGTAGCGGCCAAGCAAATATTTACTGCTGATTAGTTTGTCACCAGCACTGGTCGTGGTTTATTTTTTGCATCCGTTATATCTACCCTTTGCCATTACCAGTTACAGTGCATCATGATCGCTGCATTGAATCGAGAATCAGACATACTGAGTCCTATATTATTGATAAATAAAGTAAATATATTGAATGAGCGTGTTCTAACACGATATGGTAAATATCAAACACCACTCGGGGCCATGTTTCATAGAAAACTACTCACTGGGGAGTGATCATAGAGTTCTCAATATCAACCAGAAAACCTCCTGATTGCATGTACGCTTGATATAAAGTACACATAACAGAGAGATAGGGTTGTCAATATGACCCTTGGGCAGTCCAATAACGTAACACATAATCTCGAGCTGGAATAAAATTTTAATGAAAATGACGAACGTTGTTTAATTTGTTTTTATATGCAGAGGTCGAGTAAATATGTTCTTAGTTTAATCAATTCACGGCATTAATTGTTCTTTATCAAGCAAAGACAAGCATACAATTCATGACGCACCCGTCTTCATTAGCCAGTTCAGAGCAGAACAGTGGAACGTTAAATCCCATTTCATTTCATCGCACACGGGGATATTGTAGTCTTTCAATCGCAACAACCGTGGTACGCAATAATTCTCTTGGGATGCATTCTATGAATAACATACAACCGAGACTACAGCAAATAAGTTTCATCTAAATCGTACAAACATTGGGGTTCTAGGGGGTCAACAAAATTTGTACATGCACATTTTGCGTAAAAGGCAAGGGCCATAACCAAAGAAGTTCCGGTCTAATGCTGATCAGAATCGACCTCCCCCAAGATATTTTGATCCTTAACACCTTAACATATATGTTGTTTCATGTGGACTCTAGAGGGGTTTTGGGGAGCCTCCCCCTCTCCTAAGCTTAGTCCAGATAGGCAAAAGGGTCGATTTTTTTGACGGAAAATGGGCCGGTGTGCCGGAGTATCAAACCAAATACTCAACTGAGTCATTTAAAAATTACATAATGATATAGTAACTACTTTTCGACCTATGTATGTCGAGTGGGCCGATGTTTTGACGCCCCCGGGAAAATATGTTTGTACAGACTATGATATGAGTCCACAAAGTCATACACGGGCCCGTATCTAGACACCATTAAGCGGGGGGGGGGGCATTACCTTTCGGTAGGGGGGCGAATATTTTGAGGACATTTTCGGAAAGGTCATTGTAACAGACTGTTGTAATCATCATGCTATGTAGTTACCTAGGCGTCTAATAAGCATTTTAAAATAAGTATTCAAACAAAAAAAAATCGTGATTTTTTAAATTTATTTAAAACTATTTTAGATTAGTACCAAAAAAATGGTTTATAGAGTAATGAGATACCATGGGATTATGCGCATAGTCGCCTGAATTATACCTCCTCCTGCTTAGGGAAGCGTAGTTTTATTTAGGTTAATATAAGGAACTGTGTATACTTTAATGATTGTTAGCAATTTCTGAGCGGGGTGGGGGGGGCGAGCATTTCACGCGAGGGGGCCATGCCCCCCCCCCGCCCCCCTGTAGATACGGGCCCGGTCATACATAATGCGCAGTTTGAGTATATGGCATAACCATAGTTTCAGTCTAACAGTGAACTCCTCCAAGATCTTTTTATCGTTTACATATATCGTAAGTTTGGATTGACACCCATGCAAATGTTAGTGCTTGTATCAAGATTTGAAAAAATCTTTACACTTAGCTTCTCCAATAATATTACTGTAATCCCATAAATAATTATGTATACATTACCTCTAGCTGTTTCGTGTCTTCTGGGTAAAATGTGGCTTAGACTTTCACCTCTCTGTCTTTCTTCTCGACCTGTTCTTTCTCTAGTCGTAACTCTGATCGCCATCTTTTCTTTCATTTGTGTATTATCAATCTGAAGCTCGTGCATGTCTTTTTGAAGTCGTATTATACTGCCCTGCACAGTTGTTAATTCATTACGAAATTGGCTGGTTTCGTGTTTCAAGTCATTTTGCGAATCTTTTATTCGCAGAAAATCGTTTTTGATACTGGTCAATCTTGTCTCCAGTCGCGAGATTTCACTCGATTTTACCTGACCTTCCATAGCTTGAACTTCACCAGTGACTGATCGAATCATTTGTCGCAGTGATGACGTGTCGTTTTTGACGACATTCTGGATGTTTTTAAGCTGTGTATTATCTGTTCGAATCTGTTGAAGTTCACGTTTCATAAGAAGCCATTCTGCCTTCAAATTTCCAACCGTATTCTTCAGAAGTTGAGCTAAATCTTTACCCATATAATTTTCACCATCATATTTAGGAGGAATCGCATCTTTAATTCTGGTGCGAATGTTGTAATAATTCATCTCTAATTCATCCAGGTCAGCACCAAGGGCATCCACTTGTCTTCTCATGTTGGTTACCTAAAATATATATAATAAATTCCAAGTCAAAAAGACGATGAAACCCCCATTTTTTCATATTTTATTATAATCTTAATCTAAGGATTATTTAATCCAAATTAATTTTAAAGCGCATGCGCTAAAATTTGTATATATACATCATAGATCTGGATTAATTTTTATTATATTGTTTTGTAATACCAACTGATGAAGGGCTATTAAGCCCGAAACGCGTCTTGTACTAGATTACATCCTTTTTAAAACTATACAGTGTTTGATCGAGTTTGTTCCTGGGGATTTTTTATAATTTTATATATATAATAAAGTAAAAGTACACATTTATATAGAAGACTATGACGTATATGGTATGTACGAGTTTACAGCCTATCAGTAAGTGCAGGAGGACCGCACTACACGCCAAACAAATTCTACAAAAATAAACAAATATCAAATTAAGTGAATAGATCCGGGGAGAAGCCGTAAGCGTCCACTGCGCTGTACAGTCCAGGGTCTGTAATGGTACAGGTTTCACAAAATGAAAAAAAAAAACATTTACAAAAAAGACGTAACAGAATAATGCGGCCGTTCTTGACAATGATCCGTCAAACAATTTTAACAATAAGTGCGATAATCCGGATAGAATCTCGGAAAACGCTAACATATTAATGTGTAGTGGGTAAACGAAATGAAATGGGGTTTAACGTCCTACTGTTTTGCTCCGAACTGGGCTAATGAAGATGGGCATACGCCATACAGTGTGCTATGAGGAAAAATTTTTGCCTGGACAGCGGCACTACGGCCTACTCTTATATCGAATTCCAACTGCCAAGGGATCTTTTACGTGCACGCCAATGTGTACACGGGACCTCGGTTTTTCGTCCCATCCGAACAACGAGACAGCTTTCCTTGTCAGCCCCTCCGTCCTGCATCACTGACAAGGGAGAACCATTCCGGAAAATCTTGATGAACTTTCTCGGCCAATGCTAGCGAGCCAGCGTCTTACCCACTTAGTCACGTGATCCCCGTAGTGCCTCCTGCACTTACTATTAGAGTAGAGTTTTAGCCCTATGGTCTTTGCTCCTGTTTACCCCCCTCTTTGCTCCTGTAGTGGGTAAACAGGAGCAAAGGCCAATAACGAGAACATTCTGCAGTACCAAGGGCTAAAACTCTACTCTAATAGTAAGTGCAGGAGGACCGCACTACACGTAAAACAAAACCTACAAGATAAATCTGCGGAGGAGACGTTAACGGTGTGTAGGTGCTTACATAACTATGGCGTACATGGTTACAGACGTTAACATAATTATGGCGTACATGGTTTTAATTGACTATAAAGTACGGGATGCATAGGTGTTAATTGACTATGATGTACAGGGTGTATAGGTGTTCTTTGACATAGACAGATAGATATTCTATATTTCACAAACCGTACATAAATGATGTATAGTTGTTATTTTACTATGATGTACGGGATGTATAGGTGTTAATTGACTATGATGTACGGGATGCATATGATGTACGGGATGTATAGGTGTTATTTTACTACTATGATGCACGGGATGTATAGGTGTTAATTGTTAGTGATGTATAGGTGTTAACTGACAATGATGTACGGGATGTATAGGTGTTAATTGTTTGATATGTATAACGTACATGATGTACGGGTGTTTAAGGGGCAGAGCGTACATTTTTCCGGTGGTTGGGGGGGGGGGGCAGTTAGGTCAAAAAGTAGTTAGTAAGTATAGCATTAGGTAATTTTTAAATGACTCCATAGAATACGGCACACTCGGCAAAAGCATCGACTTATTTGCCTATCTTGACTAAGCTCAGGGGGATGCCGCACGTGTGGTAGGTAACTATGAGGTACATCGTGTATATGTGGTAGATTACTGTGACTGACATGGAGTACGGGTTAACTATGACGGTGTATATGTGATTGGTAACTGTGACGTGCATGATGTGTATTGGGTAGGTAACTATAAGTACTGTATAGGTTAACTATAACATGCATGGTGGGTAACTATGACGTACACAGTGTAAATGTGGTAGGTAACCATGACCTACAAGGTGTATGGCTTGTGTAACTATGACGTACATGGTGTATATAGGTAACTTTGACGCACATGTTGCATGATCAGTGTAAAATGAAATAATATGGGGTTTAACTACCTTTCTGCAGCATGATTTGTATAACTAGCCCAGGGTACATTTTGTGTTAAGTTGCTATGACTTGCATGAAGTATGTAACTTATGCCTGTATAACATATTTCAATATAACGTACCTGTGTAAGAAGGCTGCCGTGTTCCAGTTTGCCTTTCATAGTGTCTACCTTCATCTCTAAAACTTCTTTCTCGAGATTAGCGCTCCAATTCTGATATTTCCTCATTTCTTGAAGAACTTCATTCTCCGCCTGGGATATCTGTAGACTTGTATAGGATGTAAAATTATCATAAGCAAACTTTAATTCTTTCATTTGTCTTAGAATATCCTGGTCTGGATGCCAGACGTTGAAGGAGTAGGAACATTGTCCAGTGTCACTGAATATACCGTTACTTATGGAACAACAAGCGACGTTGAATATCAAAAATCGTAAACCCCACATATTTATAGCTCATATGTAATATTCCAACAAACGTGATCGCTGCCAGAAAACAAATTGCTTTATAGTACAAAATAACGTCGGTTTATCCTTGATAAATACACCACACACAGGTAAACAGAAAGATCAATAACAAAAAAAAAACCAACAGAATCTAGAGCCTGATCTGCGTCAAGTGTGCACTCAGATGACGTCCGTCAATTAAAAACAGATCATAAGGGCTGTTATAGGTGAGCTCCAGTCATTATCCTAATTGACAACTTCCAACAGATGATGAATGCAAAACGGTTCCTATGAGTTATTTTGATGAATAATTTCAAATAAAATCTTTAGATGCCGAATGCATTAATCGCATGCAGACAATTGTATCCTAACTGGCTATGCACATGAATAATTTCCATGAAACACTTGTCTTTAAATTTTAATAAATTTTGTTCAGTGAGACGAACATACAACGCTTGCTTTAAGATTATTCCGAAACTTGATTGCTTTTTTTCTTTAGATGCCGATTGCACAATATTTCTTGATACGCTCTTTCAGTAAGTAGATTGTAAGTAATGTCATGTCATTACTCGGCTCTCCACATGACTAATTTCTAAACATTAGCTGCATCGATGCCCGATGTGTCTATATCTATTGATGAGATCATTGTAGTAATCTGTGTATTAGATGTAGATTGTGCGATATAGACAAGTGATAATGACTGGTAGTGAATATTGACAGCTATTATATTGATCCTTCACACAGACCACTGTTACATCGTCTTATCACCAATAATGAAATCAAATCAAACAGATCTTGTTATCATCTGCAAGAAAATCAAATAAAAAGAAACTGATTGCCAGGCACAAATGGCTTGTGTTGCGTGGAGATGGAGTGAAGTTTAGTTCTTTTGTTTTAACAGTATTATGTCGAGCCTGATCAAATATAATAAAATTTATTTACCAAATTTCGATTAAAACAGTGAGCAAGTTCATTAACCTGTAGGCAGATCTTCGATTCTGTCGGGGCATGTAGATTTTAAGGTTTGTTTTCTATGTTATTCACGGGTAGAGTCGCTTGTCTATAACAACATGTGTTTTCTCTGCACATCAGGGTTTGCATTCACTTTTAAGAGCCGTCCGCTTGCGAATTATTGCATTTAAAAATAATACCATATTATGTTATTCCTGGAAGGACTCAGTGTCGAGTGATTAAGTAGAAATAAATTAAAATAGCCCAGAACACTGGGACTCAAAACAGACATAGTGCGGTTCTAGATATGCCCCTTCACACGATCACAAATGATCATGAATAGATTCCAAGATGGCTGTGGTGTTGGGTTTTTTTTTTTCACCTTAATACGACCAGAGACTTTTTAGGCTCTACTCACGAAGAGGGATCCTATCAGAATTCTTAGATGTGCTTCAATTTATCATATTGTCATCGAAAACTTGTAACCTGTAAACATTCTGCAGGATGGTGTTTTTAAAATTTATTCTTCAAATTGTAAAATTTGTTGAAATTGTTGAGAGAGGTATAAGAACGAAACCTATCGAGTTCGCGGAGTTATTGGCCCTGTAAGCAAAACCACGTAAACATTCTACGGGTCGGAGTTTTTTATCCTCATTTTTAAGCTTGGTAGGATTCTTGTACAGGTTAAAATGTTTTACCTTTCAACCTGATGGGATTGTTGGGCTGGCCGAGTTCAGCGCAAACTGTTCAGGTAAATCTGTCTCGTGGGGCGTGTTTCCTTAACTGGCAGTATACAATGTTTTTCAACCGTTTCTAAATAAGAACGAAAACATTGATTAGATGCTTTATCAGAAAAGTGTCTATACATCAAACACTCTGGGCGGTGTCTGTGGCTGCTGGGAATTGATTAAAGGCCCCCCATACACATTCACGTATTACATGAACAACACCGAATTAATGCATGTATATGTATCCCTTTAAAAAAAAAGCCCCGCGGGATTTGGATTTAGTTTTACGAATTCCTTTATCTATTTAAATTTGTAATAGCATGGTAATAGCATAGTAGCTCGTCAGGAGTTTGATAAGATAATATCCGATAAGGACCATTTCCAATTTAACGCAGCTGTCGATGGTCGGGTATAGGAGAACTGACAATTATAAGATCAGTTCCATCGACCCCTATATTCAAACTAATCACTGGGTTGGGGATATTTCGTCAGATTAAAACCAATTTTGGCCAATAACAAAATTTTAACTTTCTTGATGTTACAAGAGTCGAAGTGGAATTTTAAAAACTCAATGCGTTCAGGATATCAGTTTTACGACTTGCATTTATATGGATTCTCAACGGATGGGCTTGGGCGGTTCTGAACGGTATTTATAGCACAAAGTGCAGGCCCCGTAACTAGGGGCGCGGGGTGGGGGGCGGAACTTTTTACAGGGGGCGCTTTTCCTCATGGAAAAATTGTCGACCATAAAAATACAGTATCCGTCAATTATACAGCACCCCTGAGAACACTTTCCGCCCCCATTGTTGGCCTGAGCTAGTTACGGCCCTGACGAAGTGGTATCCCCTATATTCCAAATACACCATGTCAAGTAGTACAAATAAAGTTTTAAACCAGTCAACATGCGATACAATCTTATTAATCTGCAAAATCTTACCTTGCAGAGTATACATTCACATTTATGAATAATTGGAGCCAATAAGACCCATTTTCACTTATAATTGATATTATACAATCAACAAGCGCTCCCTCTGTAGTAACTCGTTTTACTATTACTCTACTGTTATTTACATCACATCAATTCCCGTCTGCTGGTCTCATCGCTCATTATATTTCAATAAATGGCTGGTCTGCCTGAAACTATAAAGCGAGAACATTAATTATTAAACTTTATTTCCTAACAATTACATTGGACCAGCACGCCATACATCTAATCCAATACGCTGTCTGTTTTATTATATAGTATGTGCTGCTTTAGCTCGTTTACTGTTTTACCCCCTACAGATATCTGTTAAACACGTATTCCTCTATCTCATTAACTAATTCTACTAGTACCATGTTAAAAACACAACACAGTTTATATGGAAATACAATCACTGGTTTATAAGTATAGCACGACGTTTCGACAAGTATTCTCTTATCGTTATCAAGCACAAATGATATTTAGTTAAACTAAAAGGTGATATTTATAGTAAAACAAAAACGAAGCCATAGATAAATGCTGTTATAATACAAGATAATAGTTAAATTGATCAAAGGATAATTAAAACTTAACTATAGTTAATTGATGGGGGTTAACAGTGACCAGGGAGCAACAAAGCCATATATTTGATATAGACAAAATAAACACAATTTGAAGCCCTATTAATAAGAAATTTATAATAATGTATAAATTGATCAAAGGATAATTAAAACTTAAATATTAGTTAATTGATAGGGGTTCACAATAATCAGTGGTTAACAATAGTCAGGGAGCAACAAAGCCATAAATTTGATATAGACAATTACCATGTTGCTGATACATCTATATTAAAGATGTATTTACAATTTCTACCATGGCATTACAGATATCTGTGTTATCTACAGATAACTGTAGATAATATAGATATCTATTTTATCTATAGATTATCTACAGATATCTATATATATCTATAGATATCTATATTATCTACAGATATCTATATTAAAGATGTATTTACTATTTCTACCATTACAGATGTTTATATTAAAGATATGTTTACTATTTCTACCATTACATATCTATATCAAAGATATATCTCTTGGATCCCTTTAATTTCTACCGTTACAAATATCTACACTTACATTATATATCCTATCTTAAAAATGTTTTCCTCTTTCATGTTCACCATTTCTACATCTGTACTAAAGGCTCATTCCTCTCGTTTACTATTTTTACTCTTAGCAATAGCTATAAATATATTAATTTTAAAGACGTATTCTTTTATCTGGTTTACTAATTCTACTGATGTTGATTTTAAAGATGTATTGTTCCGACACTCAGAAAGCCTTATATTAATGTACATTACAATATTAATACGAGAGCTAGTTTCAATCTAATCATGATTTTCAAGTCCAAAGCGACAATTGATACCCGAGTTTGCATTTCAGCAGTGTCCATGTTTATCACTTTAAGTTGTACGATTTTGAAGACCTGTCGCTCCTAATCCATGATGTCATCAACGATTTACGTACAGTCTCGTTTTGTGCAGATATAAGACCGACTGTCATCCATAGAAATCTGAAATGACGACAGATTGGGTTAAACATAACGTCGGTGTGACGCTTTCGTAAACTTTATATTCCAATATCCAGATTTGACATCTAATTTGCTGAACTATTTCTCTCTTGTCAGTTGTGAAAAGTTATCTTCCAGCGTCGGCATGTTGTAATATGTCCCCACCCCTTTCATATCTTATGGAACGCGTCAAATACAGCTTTTCGTGTCTTAGACTTCCCGGTGGTGACAGTCAGTGGTAGACTTTTCGAATATGACCAAGGAAATTCATCCAACCAGTTTGCTTTCAGGGGTTTTCTCGTAGAATGTGGAATTCTACTCGGTGCGTATAAGCCACGAACGATGTTATTGTTGAGATGTATAATAGATTAACTTGCAAATTTGCCAATACTGGTGATTCAGAGAGTACAAAAACTTACGCTTGATCTTTATTTTTATTCTAAACTCAATTTCTAGGGTTTAGCTGGCATTTTGACGGGAATACGTTTTTAAAACAATCGAATTTGGTGCTTTCGACCACGACCCTTCATTCCGAGAGGGAGGTGGGAGACTATGGAAACCACCGAGCGGAATCTCTCGCCCGTATTCCAGCACCGGGATTCGAAATGAAGTTATCAAACATATTCCTAGCGCCAATAAAAACCTATATATAATTATCGCGAAAATAATTGTTACCTTTATATTAGAAAATAACATTTTAAGACATATTAATGCAAAGCATATATAATAGACAAAAAAACCCCCAAAAAACTATTACCGTAAACACACTAAAATATCGCACAATAGACTAAGTGAGCACGAAGAAAAGCACCCAAACCTACGAAAGCACAGAAGGCTTATTCCAAATTCCAAATGCGAAATTCTAAATTCCAAATTCATGTCTTATCAATAAAATAGCAAATTGGCAGGCCCCTTAATTAAACAAATTAGAATTTAAATAAATTGTAATTATACACAACTAAGTAATGCTAGTTTACCTATCTGATGCCTGGGCCGGATAAACACCCGTTCCAAATTACTTAATACTAGATTCGAAATTCCAAATTCCAAATTCGACATAATCACATGACATTACAATCATCATAGCTGCTGCAGTACGAAAGCCCAGAAGGCTCTTTCCAAATAACAAATCTGATCCGAGGTTTGCTTATTTCTAGATTCGAAATTCCAAATTACTAGATCGAAATTCCAAATGCGAAATTCCAAATTCCAATTTCGACATAATCACGTGGCATTACAATCATCATGGCTGCTGCAGAGACGATAAGTGTCGCTGATGCGGCGGATTTGACCTAAACATTCAATATCCGTGGAACTTTTACACTGGAGGAACTGAGTAAGTGATCAAGTACTACTACGATATGCAACCGATCACCAAACTGTTCACATCTGCCGAAGCAAACCGAAACTGGAATATTGTTATTATACTCTATCTGATTAGTCAAAAGAAAAACCTGATCCGATTGGTCGGATCAGATTTGGAATTTCGCATTTGGAATTTGGAATGAGCCTTCTGGGCTTTCGTACAAACCAGCTGCAAAATTCCAGAAGCCTATGTTGGCTTTTCGAGATATATTACCGTAAACAAACTAAAAGTATGGGCGGATCGGATAAGGGTAGGCTCACTGCGCACACAATAACTTCTAATCTAGCTTTGGTGGCTCGAAGATCCTTACTTCACCAAATCGACAGATGCTTAGCGAGGCGTGGTTCTTGGGTTCAATAATGATAATAATAATCGTTTTCTATAGCGCTGAATATTCAGTCAGTCAAAAAGCATCCTGAGCAGCTTTGGTGGCAAATTGTTTTTATTTCATAGAATCAAGGGATGACTAAACTATTAAACTGCGAAATTCCCTAAGTCTGCTATGTTGGCTTTTCGAGATTTATTACCGTAAACATACGAAAAATGTAGGCAAATCGGGTTAGGGTAGGCTCACTGCGCACACAATAACTTCTAAACTAGGTTTAGTGGCTCGAAAATCTTTACTTCACCAAATTGACAGATTAATAAGGTATGGACATGCCAAATTTCATTAACTGTCTATGTTGACGTATCGATTTATATCATCGCAAAATTCCTAGCATCTGGATTCGGGGCGATGTTCGTGGTTCAATAAACAAAGGGCACGCCCACGCTGCATCAAAAATCGCCCAAAGAAGCTTAGGTGACAAACTGGTTAGGGTATAAGCTCGCTGCGTACGCAATAACTTCTCAGCTAGTTTTGGTGGCTCGACGATCGTTAATTCATCAAATCGACCGATGCATAAGGTATGAACATGCCAAATTTCATTAACGTTCTATGTTGGCTTATCGAGTTATATCATCACAAAGTTCCTAGCACCCGGATTCGTTTGCACCACTGACAAGGGGGAAACCACGCCGGAAAATCTCGATGAGCTTTCTCAGCCAACATTATAGCTTGAAAAGAATTTGTTTAAAAACTATAGATTGCATCACCAAAAGGGGTACAGAATTTCGTGGAGCATTAAATATCAGTAAGGTTCTTCTTCTCATGACCACAATGCGTCATATCAAATATGAAAAAAATATGTTAATAACTGTAGCATCTATCACGTTCACAAGGTTCTGGGCAATCGGGAAAAACTTTTGAACAGAAAGTCGAGCAATGCTGAAAAGTGACAGGATTCATCCTCTGAATACCCCAATGCTTCCCTGTCTCTATTACATTCACAAGGTTCTCGTAAAAGGGGGATAACCATATAAAAATATGGACACATATATTTACTTATTAATGTTCTTCTAGGACATTATCTGAATTCGGTGTGTATTATGCATCTATTCCTACCTATTGTTGATATGAAGCATATTTACCAATCCCATTGAGATAGCCTGAATAAAATATTGTTTATAAAGAAGCTATAAGTTAAGCCACAAGAATTGAATTGTGTAAACAGTGATGTCATCTCCTTCTCTTATATTTAAATACTTGTATATTCAAGGAGATAAAGTAGCCTTTGAAATTAAAGATCAAACAATACAACAAATAAATAAAACTGTATAATTAAATTTAATATTTCTGTATAAAATACATTTTAAAATATACATCTTAACTTCTAACTTTATCTTGTATTATAAATATAAATTAAAATACAATATTCTATATATAATAACATGTTATTTTGTCCCCGTAAAAGTGTCCTTTATTTTTAATTAATTTTTTCATTGAAACATCTCAAAATACACATAATATTACAAAAATACATCAAACGGTTGCCATGCAAGATACGCCAACATTCTACAAGAGATGTACAGAGAACATACATTTCAAGTTTCATCAAAATCGGACAAAAATTGTGACCTCTAGAGGGTCAACAACCTTCGTATTACATAATTTTACACAATTTGCGTACAAAGAGCGGCCATTTTGTTGGGCAGTTTCATTTCAATTTTCCCGAAATTCGAATTCAACCTTCATTAAGTTGGAATGGTGATATATTTAAACGGTTTTTAAAATCGGAAAAAAAATCATGACCTCTAGAGAATCCGCAAGCTAAAAATGCGATTTTTAGAACAATCATGGGCCATAATCCAGGAAGTTAAATTATCATAGTTTACATATTTGTGACTGGAATAATTATCTTTGTGTTATAGAGAGTTGTGGAAATTTCAGCAAAGAAAATGGACATAATGTGCCATCGGTTCTCTTCCGTCAAAAATAAAGACATAATCGATCACGAACGTACCCCAAACAACCGCGACAATCAACATGAATCACTAACGAACTATATTACACCCAGCTATCAATTTAGAATTGAAAGAATTCCAAGCTGATAACATTACCGGTGTCAGATTAAATGAGAAAGGTATCACGGTGGGAAAAGACGGTTGGGCTGTTACAAATGACCACAACGCTTAAGTTTGCTTCCTATACCATGCTGGATATGGGGAAATCTGTTGTATTTGATATACAATTAGTCCAGGTAAGTTTTACTTCGTATTTATCACATAGCAAAAATCAAATAAAGGATATTACAAGGCTTTGTGTAAACCTGTATATTTGATCTGCCCTGCGTACAAAAGATAATTACCTAATTAGCATTCTTAATCCTGCGAGCCCACGGTCCTAACATCAAGTTGTTAATTAATTTATGACCCCATGTCTGTGCAACTTTTAGTTGGATTGATTAATGAGAGATAGGCCTATTAACGACATGTGTGCACTCGCCATATTAATACACAAATATAATAAGATGCCCCTTCTCAAACAATCTGTTATTCAATTTAGTTGGTTACCAACAAAACTAATTAGCCCTAAATCCGTTGTACTGTTATTTCTAACGTAGTGAGATAATTTATCCCATTTCATTTTTTACGGTCTATTTCAGAGCAATGGAGTCAAATTCAGCATCCGTACGATGATCACGGGTCGTCATTTACAAATCGGTTAATGGATCCGCGAAAACCTGGTGAATACGAAGCACTTCTTCGACGCCTGGTACATAGCTAACGGTAAATTTGTAGCTTTACAGAGTTTGGATCATCATAAAACATATCACTGGCGTATCCAAGTAGACTATATTGTTAGGCAATATCTTGCAAGGTTGTTGAAACGAAATAGTTTCTCAAATAAATGTTAATTATAACATTAGAATTATTGCTGTTTCTTCCAGATTTGGAATCAAAATTGATAGCATCCATCTCTGGATTCGAAGTATAACGAATGATCTCTATTGGTGTGCTGTGGCCAGAGACGAAGACGATTCGACGCAGCTACTTCAGAATGACACAGTGTTGTCGATCACATGCAGAATTACCACAACGTGATGACCGATGCTTGAAACCATTTGGTTTCGTGAAAGCCGACAATTAATCATTTATGTTGTCTTCTTTGATATTTGTTGCGCCGTCGATAACAATTTCACATCAATCTTATTGCTTTAATTGGGGGATTAAGAAATCCGTCGGGCATTAATGAATACACATCCCAGTTGTATATAGGTAATTATAGAATAAACATTCCTAATATGCATTTGGTCACTGTGACGTCACTGGCGTCTGATATTAAGAGTCGTTTTTCTGGGAGGTCTATATTTGCAACTTTGAGTGATGATGGCGGAATTAATTTTAATCACATTGTTGTGAACTTGCCGTAAAGTGTGCATATAGTAACTACTGGCGATAAGTGAAGAAAATTGATTTCGGTCACTTGATGTTCTCTTTAAATAATGTAAATATATTAGTCATGATTATTCATGTGCCAATTTACAGTATAGGCTGAACATGATTTATAGACATACGGGTATTACTTCCATATTTCAGGAATCATTATATCATATTGCCCCTCGAATAATTTATGAACAAACAATAAAATCTTAACAACATCACATTAAAATAACAGTAGTTATAGTGTAGGCCTATTCCTTCTTTTTCAATAACCACCATCAACATTTTGGAAGATTGGTTGTCACTAAGTCTTTTCAGACAACAAAACATTTGCCCACAGTAACTAAGTTGTCCGAGTCTACAGAAGTTGACAGAGCTTTATTTTCTTGTAGAGGGAGCATTTACAAGACAATAAAATTGATTAAGAGCAAAAACTCATGAAGTAACTATCAGAAATAATATAATTTGATTGGCTTCTAGTTCTTTCAAAATTTACTATACAAATCATTTGCCAGTAATCGGATAATAAATTTAGCTGTTCCAGTTATTGGAAATTATCTCATAACCAGTTCTCAGAAAAATCTTAGCTACAAGTGTTTAAAAAGCCAAATATTTTTAGTTAGAATCCTAAGTATTAACATATAGGCCTACAATATATTCTTAGATAGAACTATCAATTAAGGGAATGTGTCTTTAAATAGTATAAAAATCATATTCCTGAAGCAATGGCCGGAGAAATCCCTCTCTGGCCATTGCTGAATTGGCTTCTGATACTTTTGAGGGAGTGTGTCTATTCTTCCCGTTCAATCAAATCTATCTCACGTACAGCAACATGACAGCCCTTCGTTTAATCTGGGTCTTCCTTAAAACTTTGGACAATGATTTAAGGTATTAACCAGCGGCTGCCAGGCAGGATACGCTCACATTTTGCAAGAGATGGATAGAGAACAAGCCAAAAACAAAAACGATTTTTTGTACAATCAGGGGCAATAATCCAGAAAGTTATGGTCTGAAATGTGCAAATATCAAAAGGGGCTGCGATCTTTGGGATGTAAAGATATGTTTTAAGTTTCATCAGAATCGGATAAAAATTGTGACCTCTAGAGGGTCCACAACCTTTGCATACTTTTACACAATTTGCGTAGAAAGAGCGGCCATTTTGTCGGGCAGTTTCATTTCGATTCTCCCGAAATTCAAATTCAACCTTCATTATGGTGGAATGGTGAAATATTTAAACGGTTTTTAAAATCAGAAAAAAAAATGTGACCTCTATAGAATCCGCAAGCTAAAAATGCGATTTTTCGAACAATCAGGAGCCATAATTCAGGAAGTTACGGTCCGATATGCATGTATATTGATATGAACCGAGATCTTTGGGTTATAAACTTACATTTCAAGTTTCATCAAAATCAGAAGAAGATTGTGACCTCTAGAGGGTCCACAATATTGATATACCATATTTTTACGCTATTTGAGTACGAGGGGCGGGCATTTTGTCTGTCAGTTTTGGTCCGATTTTTACGAAATTCAAACTCAACCATCTTTAGGGCGTAACCGTGATATATTCAAACGGTTTATTAAATCGCATAAAAATTATGACTGCTATAGGGTTCACAAGCTAAAAACGTGATTTTGTCTGTCAGTTTTGGTCCGATTTTTACGAAATTCAAACTCAACCATCTTTAGGGCGTAACCGTGATATATTCAAACGGTTTATTAAATCGCATAAAAATTATGACTGCTATAGGGTTCACAAGCTAAATAGGTGATTTTTCGTACAATCAGGGGCCATAATCCATGAAGTTTCAGTCCGATACATGCTAATATCGAAAGCAACCGAGATCTTTTGGAGATAAACCCATATTTCAAGTTTCGTCAAAATCGGATAAGAATTGTGACCTGTAGAGTGTCCACAAACAAATTGTGGACGGACGGACAGGGGCGATGACAATATACCTCCACATGTGTGCGTATAAAAACGGTGAAAGTATTGTTCGTCTCCAAACAGTATTGTTTACATTGTACTCGTTTTGATAGCCTTGTTTGTCGTCACGCAATTAGTTTTTCTGCAATATTCTTCTGCTATGCACTGTGGAGGGGGTGATGGTGAATGACCGAGTGGTCAGCACTAAGGTGTTTCACTTTTCACTTTTTTTGGAATTTCTAAGGTTTCTACCGAAGTCCACTCGGGGTCAAACTTACACCGTAATATTTTCAGAATTTTCTTGCCAAAAATGGCTGCCGGTGGCCATTTTTTTTAAAATTGTGACTATTTTCTGGATTTTCGGACGTTTTGAGCTTGACAGATCACCTAGAAAGGTCAGGTATGGCTTGTAATGTATCTATTTTATCTTTTTCAGGTATGTAGAGTCCATTCCCACTATCTTAAATGAGATCGTCAGAATCCAAGATGGTGGAAATCCAGGATGGCGCCCCAAATCATCTATTTTCGTGACATGGAAAAGCATTTTTCAAAGACTATGTCATTCTGAACATCATTTTGTCCCTGATAATAAACTTTGCATTCATAAAATTCATTATCGGGGCCAAAATGATGTTCAGACTGACACTGATCTACCTTTGGTTGAAAATGGCGGATGGTAATGACTGAAGGCGGAGTTCCGATGGAGTATATTCACCACACTATTAATCTGGCAGAACTATGACTGAACCTGGAAATTGTTTACAAAGTTGTTTTTTTTATGATTGATTTTAGTAGTCTAAGGTGTCATCTTTCAGAATGTGACGGGTGAACCTCGGTAACCCTTGAGCGTTTTGAGAAATTCAAGATGGCATCCAAGACGGCCGGCATTTCACTAAATACACTGTGATCGTTCATTATGTTGTGGGGTCATTAGATGATAGTAAAATCCAAAATTCCAGATAATATGGCCCTTTAACTCGTTAGCGGCGGTTTGGAGCGATTATTTCAGCAAACCAAACTATATCTAGAGACAAATTATATATTTCTGGATATAGGAACATATGAGTGATACAATAACACTACATACATGCCTATCAGGAGCACGCTAGCACAAGCGGTTTTTTGAATATTTAAAAAAAAAAAAAATTCTACCCGCAAAACATGAAAATAACTAGGTAATATTCAGTTTAATCCTCTACGTGTGTTTCTGGCTGCAACCTGTGACAGCGCAAGCGCAAAATACTGTATAATCTAAGCCATCATTAGTGTAGCTACAAGTACGCGTACTACATGTCACTCTTCCATCCACATCTGACGAGCCACGTAACAGACTCCGGAGCACGTTGACCAGTTGTAATGTTCTCAATTTAGTGTCATTAACTCAGCAATATAGTTCCTGCAGATTACGATCTTCCAGTCAACGCCACACAATGGCTTGGTGATGACATCTTTTTGCGTTCCCTACAAATGCATCATTCTTTGGAGCAAGACTACATGGTTTAGGTGGGGATGATGACGACACATTTCCCGTTTTAGATGTCTATACCCACCAACGTGTTTCAGGCAGCGATTTGAAAGAGCTCTGTCTATAACAAGCTTCTTACAATTGAATCACCAATCGAGGAAAGAACAACCGTTGACATTGGTTCAACTTCTGAGAAACATATGTCCAGTACCATTGAAATCCTGCCAGCTCATGCTTTTACTGGATGTGACACGGTTACGTGCTGTTACGTCGTGGGAAAAGGAACAGCTTTGAAAGTGGTGAGAGCTTGATTGTATTCTCTCTTTAGACGCTCTAATAGAATCTGTGCTTGCACAGGCCACTGTACATGTCGGCTGGTTATGGACAAAGTTCTAGCAAATCGATGTCTGAAACATGCTGGAGGGTATGGACAATTGGACGTCCAAAACTGAAATGTATGGTCAGCATCCCGCCACCCAAACCATGTAGTCTTGCTCAACGAATGATGTATTTGCAGGGAACTTGATCGGGAACTGTTTTGCTGGGTGAAGGTTACAAAATTGAGAACATTACAACCGGCCAACTTGCTCCAGAGTCTGTCATGTGGCCCTGGAGCTCCTGATAGGTATTATGTGGTGTTATCATATCACTCATATGCTCCTATGTCCAGAAATATACTTTGTCTCTAGATGTAATTTGGTTTGCTGAAATAATCGCTCCAAACCGCCGCTAACGAGTTAAAGGTCCATATTATCTATTTTTGGATTTTACTATCATCTAATCACCCCACAACATAATGAACGATTTTAGTGTATTTAGGGAAATGCTGGCCGTCTAGGATGCCATCTTGAATTTCTCAAAACGCTCAAGGGTTACCGAGGTTCACCCGGCACATTCTGAAAGGGGACACCTTAGGCTACTAAAATCAATCATAAAAAAACTTTGTAAACAATTTCCAGGTTCAGTCATAGTTCTGCCAGATTAATAGTATGGTGAATATACTCCATCGGAACTTCACCTTCAGTCATTACCTTCCGCCATTTTCAACCAAAGGTAGATCTGACAGCCCTGGTAATGAATTTGGGGAGGCATCTTGGATTTCCACCATCTTGGATTCTGACAATCTCATTTAAGATAGTGGGAATGGACTCTACATACCTGAAAAGCATAAAATAGATACATTACAAGCCATACCTGACCTTTCTAAGTGATCTATCAAGCTCAAAATGTCCGAAAATCCAGAAAATAGTCGCAATTTTAGAAAAAATGGCCGCCGGCAGCCATTTTTGGCAAGAAAATTCTGAAAATATTACGGTGTAAGTTTGACCCCGAGTGAACTTCGGTGACGGGTGGAAACCTTAGAAATTCCAAAAAAAGTGAAAAGTGAAACACCCTAGTCAGCACGCATGAGCTCTATCATAAGATCTGTCATTGAGTCAACTGGTCTGGTTTCGATTCCCCGGTTGTACATGACAAGGAGTAGGGACCTCTGGTTTCCTCCCACTTCTAAAGACCCCTACGCGCAAGTGAATTATTGAAATAAAATTGAATATGTTAGTCCCAAAATGACCTAGTTTGTGTCGAGTGGACTTTAAAACCATCTCTCTCTCTCTCTCTTCACTACCAGGTACTTCAAAACCTCGACTGAGTTTGATCATGAACATTTTATGCTTACACTAAATATAAATAATCAGTTTGATTGCTCAATACTTTTGAAAAAGATAAATGTGCAATTAATCACTATGTGTCAATCGGATATTAACTTTAGCGTCTAGAGCGTCCACAAGATATTTCAAAGTGATCAAGGGCTATAACTCTGGCAGTAATTATCGGAAATCTTGAAAATCAATAGGATTCTCCGTCTTATGACCTAAACACTGTGTATAAATTTAAAGTCAATCAGATATTAACTTTAGACTCCAGAGCTTCCACAAGATTTTTCAAAGAGGTCAATTGCCATAACTCTGGCAGTAATTATCGGAAATTGGTGCAAATCAATAGGATTCTTCATCTCATGATCTTAAACACTGTGCATAAATTTAAAGTCAATCGGATATTAACTTTGGCCTCTAGAGCTTCGACAACCAATTGTGGACACCATACAGGGGCGACGACAATAAAATGTGGTCGTATAAAAATAATATATCTTCAGATTGAAATATCAGTATGCCTTTAGTTCGAAATATCAATATGTCTTTAGTTAAAAGTATAAATAAATCTTTAGTTAGAAATATCAATAAGTCTTTAGTTAGAAATATCAGTATGTCTTTAGTTAGAAATATCAATATGTCTTTAGTTAAAAGTATAAATAAATCTTTAGTTAGAAATATCAGTATAGAAATACCAATATGTCTTTAGTTAGAAATATTATATATCTTCAGTTAGAAATATCAACCAATATGTCTTTAGTTAAAAGTGCCAATGTCTTTAGTTAAAAGTGCCAATGTCTTTAGTTAAAAGTGTCAGTATATTTAGTTAAAAGTGTCAAATTAATATCTCTAATTAATTTCAAAAGTGACCAGATATTCTGGATATACCTGATTGTTATTAAATAAAATAAATATTCTAGGCTCATTCATATCATCTACACAAGAATCATACAAATCACTGGAAGGATTAGAGAGATCCTTTAAGGGTGGTCGTCTAAAAGATTTTTGTCCTTTCGTGTAATCTCCTAGCAAAACTCGAGCAACAAACATCTTCCCCAAAGTGTCGCAATAATGGCTTGAGACTTCTGAAGTTTTACTAAAATAACATCCTTTACCAAACAGTGCACCGACTCTAGTTCCAGCTAAACGACAATCAAATCCCTGTCTGGCTATAGCATCTACTATTTTACTGTCTGTCCCATGAAATAATCTTCTGTCTTTTACTTCCCGTTTCAATTTTCTGCCCAGGACACCCTTGGTTCTGTAAATAAAAACAAAACACAGAGAAATTTATTAAACATAGAGAAATGGACAATATTCTTGTTTTAGCCAAAGTTCCAATATTTAATAATGTATAGCACTTGATTTAAATATTAATATTAACAGCCCTACAGTTCCCTATAACATATGTATAAACTGTTTTGTTTTACACTTACTCACAAAATGCCCTCCACAGCTCTCCATTTTCTATTCTTTCAATCATTTTTATTCTTCCTAGTGAGATACCAGATTCAAATAGTTCACTTAATTCTTCATATTCATCACTAGATTCTTCCAGCTAAATATAATGTCAAACAATCAATATCCAAACTTTATTAATTCATAAACAAGCCAACGGTGGGGCAATCCCAAAATAAATGGATGACACAGTCAAGGTTTCGAAGTACCTGGCAGTGAAACTCTACACAGAGTTTCATCACTTTCCATAAGTTAAAAGAAAAGTTATCTTGTCCCAAAATTGTTTAGCTCTGCTTAAAGTAGCTAAGACTCTAACTCAGTATCATCCAAAGTCTTTGACATTAAAAACACGAATTATTTGTCAATTTAAATCAACATTGATGTTGTGATCTTACCGGGAAAAGCTGGGCTTCTGATATCCAATATTTAAGACAAAATAAACATTTTACCATTGGTACACGAATCGTGTACCACAATGCAACTCAGCGCCATTTGTAATAAGGGACCCCAAGAACGGGTCTAGACATATTCCACAAGTCATGTCAAACGGTGACGCCATATTCTTATCCGGAGAGCATGCACAATAAATACTCTTGGTGTAGACTGGAATAACCAGACTCTAGAGATTGCCATTCGATTGAGACTGCTGGAGTATTTCGCCAAACGTAACTGATTTGAAATTAGAGTGAAAACAGAAACAATTGAATGTAAATCAGTTTATAAACAGTATTATATGCGTTGCCTTGCGACCAATTTGTGTCCATTTCAAGGTCCTAAATATTAGCAAGTTAGCTCCTTTAACATTAGTGGAAAATGTTAATCATCAAACTCAGTCTTATGAATATCTGCACTAAGTTTACCTCATTTAAAAGCAGAGTTGTTAAGTAATTATGTTCCAAAGTTTTGACCAATCAAATTTCTTATTGCTACTTAGCCTAAGAAGAAAATTCCCATCATGGAACTTATTCAAGGTATTGCTTATCTCTGTTTTGCTTGAGTGGAAAATGAGCAAGATCGAACACTGTCATGACATTCACCCAATAGACACCTACACGAAGCTTGAACATTCTACCTCAGTTAGAAACAGAGTTAATGTGCTACAAAGTCTCGGCCAATCCGATTGAAGTCTATATTTTGCCTAAGCAAAATGTTCATCATCAAACTTAGTCAAGGTATTGATGTAATGAAACTATACACCAAGTTTCATCACCCTCACTTAATAAGAATCAAAGTTATCTAGCTCCACCCGCCTTCATTAGCAAAGTCAGAGCAGAACAGTAGGACGTTAAATTCAGGCCTGTAACCTTTTAGCAGGACTGGCTACCGGTGTAGTTAAACCCCAATTCATTTCATTTCATTTATCCAAAGTCTCGACCAATCAAGTTACTTATCACTCTGCTTACCCTGAGCAGTAAATGCTCATTATCAAACTTAATAGTCAGTCTGATCCAAATGCTACACACAAAATTTGAAAAGTAATATACCCCAAAAAATTGAACAAGACTATGAGCTATACATACTGACACAGAATTAGCTCAATATTTAAACTATAATGATACTTTACCTGAACCATTTTAAAATGTGAGAAAACATCCACGTCACTAGGCACCTTCCATGATCGTGGTGTAGAAAATGTCTGGACCTCCTTCGAGCGTTTTACTCTTTCAATTCTACAAATTAATTTTTACTTTAATTATATTTTTATCTCTGACTGGTTTCAATAAAATGAGGTTTAATTTCCACTTGACACAAACTAGGTCATTTCAGGACTAACACATGGTTCAATTTTTATTTATCCACATTTTCATGTGGACGTATATTGTCGTTGCCCCTGTCCGTCCATCCATCCACAATTTGTTTGTGGACACTCTACAGCTCACAATTCTTACCCAATTTTGACGATAGTCATTATGATGCAAAACCTATGCTATTTTAGCTAGTTGCTGTGTTATTTCGGTCATATTTGCCAGTCTAGCCTGTCAGTCAATTTAGATATTTCACAGAATTTAACCTTAAAACACAATAAATACAGTTAAAATTAAAATGTTTATGTGTAACAGTACTAAATATATAAGAAAAGTGGGATGATACTAAAAATTGTATAATTGCATGAAAAAGTATCTTGTTAAAATCGATGGAAACAAAATAAATCAAAACCTTTGTCATTTTAAATAGAAGTCCGCAATAAAAATCCTTGGGTTGCTCTACAATAATTGTAATATTTGTAAAATATCAATCTCACAGTAAGATGTCGATCTAACAGTAAGATGTCAATCTAACAGTAACATAATCATCTAACAGTAACATAATCATCTAACAGTAACATAATCATCTAACCATCTAACAGTAACATAATCATCTAACAGTAACATAATCATCTAACAGCAAGATAATTGTCTAACAGTATGATGCCGATCTCACAGTAGTATATCGATATAACAGTAAGACGCCTATCTCACAGTAATATATCAATCTTTCAGTAACATATCAGTCTCACAATATCCATCTCACAGTAACATATAAATATAATAGTAAAATATCAATATCACTGTAACATATCCATCTCACACCAGATATTGGAGAAATAATCAAGGAAAATCATAATGAAATTTTTCACCTGATATTAACAAAGCAGATCTAAGAATGGGGACCCATAATCAAGAATCACCCACATTTTGTAAGAGAAGGATAGAGAACAAGCTAAAAAAAACAACGCAATTTTTCGTACAATCAGGGTCCATAATCCAAGAAGTTATGGTCCGAGATGTGCAAATATCCAAAGGGACTGAGATCTTTGGGATATCAAAATCTGACAAAAATTGTGACCTCTAGTATGTCCACAACCTTGATATTACATACTTTTACACAATTTGAGTTCAAAGAGCGGCCATTTTGGCGGGCAGTTATGGTCCGATTTTTATGAAATTCGAACACAATCATCATCAGGGCGTAACGATGATATACTTAAACGATTTCTAAAATTGGATAAAAATTGTGTATAGGGTCAACATGCCAAAATCGCGATTTTTTCGTACAATCAGGGGCCATAATCCAGTCCATTATACGCTTATATCGAAAAGAACCAAGATCTTTGGGATATAAACACATCGTAATAGTGTAACGGTGATATATTTAAATGTTTTTTTAAATCGGATAAATATTGTGACCTCTGGAGGGACCACACGCTAAAAAGATTTTTCGTTCAATTAGGGGTCATAATCCGATATGCGTGAATAAACACATATTTCAAGTTTCATCAAAATCGGATAAAAAATTGTGATTTCATAAAATCAGGGGCCATAATCCATGAAGTTACAATCCAAAATATGCCAATATCTAAGGAACCGAGATCTTTGAGAGATAAACCTATTTTTCAAGTTTCGTCAAAATCGGATAAAAATTGTGATCTGCAGCGTGTTCACAAACAAATTGTGGACGGACGGACAGGGGTGCATCAATATACTTTATACGTCCACATGAAAATGTGGGCGTGTAAAAAGGTGTGTTCACCTGTTGAATAACAAAAACAACTCAAGAATCACCATCGCCTATATATATACAGTATATAAAGTGTGCATATGATTAAACCATGTCAAATTATTCAAAGCAATTACCTCTGTTTTAGAACAGTTTCATCCACAAATTCTGGTCTTCTGGCAAGTTTTCTTTCAGTGCCATGTATTTTATTTATCTGAATCATTTGTTGGAATTTGATCTCATATAATTGACTGTGAGTTAATGAGGACGAACTGTTGGTTTTGAATTCCATAACATCATGTTCATTTAGGTAGTTCTTCTCGATATCTGCAGATGATATATCAGCTTTAGAACCCGTATTATCCTATAAAAGAAGTGCATTATCTTATTTATTTTCTTCTAACCAAGTTTTAACTAGATTGTATGAATATTCTCCCCAATTTGTCATGTAATATAATTAGTGCCTCAAGTTATCTGAACAAAAGAATAAATTAGTTGGTACATGTTTAACTGCGATTGAAGCTGATGATCGTCATTCACATTTTTTGGTCAATACCGAATTATCCACATCTTAATCCACGTCAAAATGTACCCAGATTAATTATTTTACATTCAATTAAACATACATTATGCAAGAGCTAAATCTGTCTATTGCAGGTCTTTCTTTAGGCCTGAAATGTTATCTAAATTATTAATTTTACATTAATTAACCTATCCAGGCCATAATCAACTCTAGATGGCAGCGCTAGCCTGCGATCTTTAGTGGATTGTGAGCTGATTTACTGCATAACTTTCCTTCTCGATTAAACGATTAAATGGATAATCGAGAATATGCTGTTTATCGACTGACTTTAGTAATGATGACCAAGGCTTATGGGAATTTCAGTCGCTTAGTTCTCGGTTCATCGTTGATCAATTTGAATGAAATTTTCACCAAATTGCCTTTACATTATCTAGTTTTTAACTGCACTAACTCGATTTAGGGCCAAATGAATTGTAATAATTGTCAAGTAAATGCTATATTTATACTAATAATTGTGAAGATGACATAAAATTAAATATTCGTGAAAACACCCGATGCTTTCATCCCGTACTAAAGAATATGCTATTGGTTAAATTTTGATTTAAACCAAAATGCACAAAACATAATGGACAAGGGAACATATAGAATTTTGGATATCCATTAACGGTAATAGAGAGTTATCTCCCTTTCTGTCAAATGTCTGCAATTGGTAACAGTATTTCAGGTGCGTGTTGACTGCTAAATGTTGTATGACTCACAAGACCATGTGTGAGCACACAAGCCCATTATTTATATCATTAATGGGGTCACAGGGGACTGCAAGGGTTGGTGAGCGGGTGTTTACCCAGAAATTATGGGAGGAGCGCCTAATCAGATGAGCAAGGAGATATGTTTGACATTGGTTGAGCAATATGTCTATGAAGTAATGGAGACCAGACTATGTCGGTAGTTTTGTAAATCGCATTCAAACCACGTGATTTTTTCTACTAAAACATAAACCCACACCAACATACCCTTTCAGTTAGACCCTACGTTACTTTTATTACAGCTAGCTGTAAACATCTAGTTCAGATATGTAAGGCCGAATTACAAACATTTAAACTGAAACCGTATCTATAATTGTGTAATTTACTAACAAATATAGATCTAAGACAAAAATTATTTATTGAAGTAAAACAGTCATTGAAAATCAAAATTACGCAGCTACCCTGCACTTTAAATGTCATCAAAGTTAGTCATTATCATCATCACTCTCACTACATGTATAAACATCAACTTGGGTTTCTTTAACAGTCTTTTTGTTTCATTTTCACATTTATTACATTTACATAGATTAGATATGTACATGTATCCCCCGGTCAGTGGAACGGGATGGGAGTTGGCTGGAAGGATAATGCCCAGTCGTTTGGATGGGAGGGAAAACAATGGATGAAACAATTTTTGATTCAACAAACTGAATCGGATTGAACAACAGGTAAGGGGCTGCATATGTGTAGGGGGCTAATCTCAGTTGGGTGTGTTGGGGGGGGGGGGGGGGGCTGAGCCTATTTGCCTGAAAAATTTGTCACCCAAATATTCTGAATGAATCAATCATTAACTAAAATGAATTTTCCACAAAGCTGTGATGGCTATGTTTATTTTGAATTAATTACACAAATATACAATTATCTTTCCATGAGATATGCTTGCATTCTCCATTCTCTGAAGCTTGTGCCTGAAAAACTGAAATACATGTACATTGCCCGAAAAATGGACGGTTCAACCAATCTGGGAGGGCGGGTGGGTGGGCATATAAGCTCTCCCAAAACCGTATTTCTACTAATATATATGTAAACTTTTAGTTCAGATTGGATTTGGGGCTAAATTCCGAACAAATATTTGAATTGAAACAAAGCATCTATATGTAATTTTCTCACTAAAATAGATATATGGCAAACCCTAAATAATACTGTAAGGCAGTGTCAATTGTAATGAAGAGAAAAAAATTCAACCATCATAAATGAAGATGTACATACGCCCGCCATCCATTATGCTATAGGGGGGGGGGGGGAGGGATTTGGTCCAAACAGCAACGTTACAGTCTACTCTTTATTTCAAATTTAAAGTTCTTTTACGTGCATGTCAACGTGTGCATGGGACCTCAGTTTTATATTCCATCCGAATAACATCACAGCCCCCCCCCTCTCCCTGCACCACTGACAAGGCGAAACAATGCTGGAAAGTTTGGGGAACTGTCTAGGTCAACACAGGGGATCAAATCCCAGACCTCCTGATTTGTGAGCCACAGACAATGAGAAACTATGCCGGACTAGGATCAATCCCTGGGCCGCCCGGTAAGTGAGCCAGCCCTTTACTCAGTCACCGCGGCTCCCTTGCACACTGATGATGACACTTGCATACTAGTTGTACACGTACAATGCCCCCCCCACCTCACTCAAACAATAATGTATGATGTATGCCCATCTTCATTATACGGGTTGGTACAGAACAGTAAGACATTAAACTCCATTTGATATTTTTTTCTCTCCATAACAATATTGTCACTCCCAATACAGTATTATTTAATTTTGGCCATATCTATTTTAGTGTGAAAACTAAATATCTGTAGATGCTATATTTCAGGTTAAATATTTGTTAGACCTTTAGCCTCAAATCCTATCTGAAAAAAGGTTGAACTTATATAGGCCCTTGTCTGTAGTTAAATCCTGTTACTGTTATCAATAATTATTGATATTTTCCATAAAGGGAACTCCCTTTACCATAAATGGATTTCCGAAATTCTGTATGTTTCCCTGTCCATTATGTTTTCTGCATTTTGCTTTAAATCAAAATTTCACCAACAGCACATTCTTTGCATAGGATGAAGGCATCAGGTGTTTTCGCCAATATTAAATTTTATGTCAACTTCACAATTATTAGTATAAATATAGCATTTACTTGACAATTATTACAATTTTCATCTGGCCCTAAATCGAGTTAGTGCAGACTTTTTGCTTGGAACACTCTGGATTTGTGTTCCTGGTGTTATAAGCTTTCCAAAAATGTATAGTTTGTTTATTTGGGAGGACTATGTAGCAGAACTTCACGCTAGAAATTTTGGCTGCAGGCCTATTTATTCCTATCAAGCAACTATTTGATTACTACTACTAAAATAGCCTTGTTGAAGACCTACCTGTCTTCCATATGGAATCCAGACTGTTTCTGACTTCCAGTACCACAACCATTTAGTAGTCCATGGTAGATCAAAGTTACTAGTGTCACTGGTAAAATCCACTGTTGATAATCGACGTATCTTGATATCACCTTTCTCAATGTCATTGAAATTGATTTTAACAATGGTAACATTTTCCCTGTTTAATAATAAATTATAATGGTAAAAAGCAGTTGCCAGGCAAGATATGCCCACATGTTGCAAAAGATGGACAGAGAACAACCTAAAAAGCGATTTTCATACAATAAAGGGCCATAATCCAGTATCAAAAGGAGCCGAGATCCTTGAGATATCTATATTGGATAAAAATTGTGACCTGTAGTGTCCACAAACAAAATGTGAGTGTCCAGATGGACGGACAAGGGTGTCAATATATATGTCCACATGAAAATATGGGCATATAATTAAGCGGTCAGCTTTAAATTGGACACAAGCACAAACTAGATGGATTGGAGTGATTTAAGATAATTTTTACAAAATTCCAAGCAAAGATTTGAATGTTAAAGAATTTAGGGCTAAATATGCAAGATTAAATGATACCGGGGTTACAGATACCTGTGTCGAAGTGGACTTTTGCTCATTTGTCTCTTCTCTCTCTTTCTGTAACCATAACTATCATAATATTTACCACTCCCACTTCTTCTCTCAGGACTTCGACTTTTGGGAAGATATTTATCTCGATCAGATCTTTGACTGTCTCTTTTAGGACTTCTGCTCCTACGTCTGTCTCGATCTTGAGGACTTACATACAAACAAAGGCTACGTTAACATAAATATTCATGATCTGTGTTAATGCAATATAGTAATGAGTTACATACATGCGCAGCATTGAATATCGGTTGCCATGGTAAAAATTGCAGTTGTCTTGTGTACATCGAAGCAATAAATGATGGGTATGGATGTGAGAATAAAGACATATAAATAAATTTATAGTTAGGTCAATAAACAGGTAGAAATGGAGTTTATGTCTAGTCAACACAAACTAGGTCACTTCGAGACTAACACATGGTTCAATTTTATTTCAATAATTCGCTTATGCGTAGGAGTTATTGGCAATGGGATGAATCCGGAGGACTGGAGAACAACTCACAAAGTTGGACAGGTGGCCCTACTACTCATCAATAAAAGTGGGGAATTCTCCACTTGACTCAATAACAGATATTATCATCTACAATTCACACCTTACACCATTAAATTAGATCTATATATAATAGATCTATGGTTTATTGTGTGTGAAAATCCTCAATTTTATGCTAGGTTGAGTCAATGTTAGTATCTATCGTGGAGCATGAAACACAAATACATGTAGATTGGTGGATGGAGTTCTTGGATAATAGTTTGAGAGAGAGAGAGAGAAATGGGGTTTAACGTCCACTCAACACAAACTAGGTCATTTCGGGACTAACATATGGTTTAATTTTATTTCAATAATTCACTTGCGCGTAGGGGTATTTTAGCAGTGGGAGGAAACCCGAGGACCCGGAGAAAACCCACGAGGTTGGACAGGCGACCCTACTCCTTGTCACGTACAACCGGGGATTCGAAACCACGCCAGTTGACTCAATGACAGGCCGTATGATACAGCACGCATGTGCTAACCATTCGGCCACCCAACCCCCCATAATAGTTTGAAATGTGCCAGAGGATAGCTAGATTTAATTTAAATATTCCCTTTGGGGGCAAATGAATGAATTTTAATCGTTCTATGCTTTGTAACCATGACCATGGATAGTTTGTTCAAGGGAAAGAACTTTTGACGAAGAAAATAAAACAAGCACTTGCCATGCAAAAAATGCCCACACTTGCCAAGAGATGGACAGAAACGGCCCCCCGAAAAATCGAATTAGCCTCCCCCCCCCCCCAATATTTTGTCGACAATAATGATTTTTTAGGAGTGTTGAAATTGGAAGGCTCGTAGCATGGTCCATCAAGGCCTGCCTGTCATCATCACCTCCTGATCCTCTTGACACTCTCTACTACCTTCAAGATGATCGGCGGGTGGAGTCGAAGAAGGAAAATTCAGCCATAAAACTCTGCCCGAGGGACTTCAATTTGAGGCACAGCAATGCACTCAGATGCGAGGAGAAAGCACCAAATTTTCAAAATTTTATGGGGGATGACCCCCAGCCCCTCTGCCCTGAGCCGCAACTTCGGCGCTTCACAGTGGCCGGCTGAGCCGGACACATCCTAAGCCTCTCCAAAAAATTCCATAGCCCCACCAAATTTTATGAGCTGGCTACGGGCTCGAACAGAAAACAAGCTAAAAAAAAACAATTTTTCGTACAATCAGGTGCTATAACCCTAAATGTTACAGCCCGACATGTGACAATATCAAAAGGAATACAGATGTTTGGGATATAAATATATATTTTCAGTTTCATCCAAATTGGATAAAAATAGTGACCCCTAGAGGGTCCACAACCTAGGCAGTATACTATTTGCGTAACGGGGAGCGCCATTTTGTCCGACAGTCTCTGTGCGACTTTCACATTCAATTCAAAATCAACTGCGGTAATGTGTAACAGTGATTTATTTCAACGGTTTTTAAAATGAAATAAAAATTGTTACCTACAGAAGGTTAATGAGCTAAAAACATGATTTTTCGTACAATCAGGAGTCATCATCCAGGAAGTTAGGGTCCGATATGCGCCAATATCGATAGGAGCCGAGATCTTTCGGATATAGACATAAGCTATAAGTTTCATCAAAATTGGAAAAAAATTGTCACCCCTTTTGGGTCAATGAGCTATAAACAAGATTTTTTTGTACAGTCAGGGGCCATCATCCAGGTCCAGGAAGTTAGGATGAATTCGATCCGATAATCGCTAATATGACAGGAACTGAGATATTGGGAATAGAAACATATATTTTATATTCCATCCAAATCAATAAAAATTGTGACCTCTACAGGCTTCACAACCTTGGTATTGCATACTTTTACACTATTTGCAATCAACAGTACTGCCATTTTATCAGGCAATTTCGAGCTCAACCATTTTTACAGTATAACGATGCTATATTTGAATGGTTTTTAAAATCGGATAAAATTTGTGACCTCTATAGGGTCAACATGCCAAAAATGTGATTTTTCATACAATCAGTGCCATAATCCAGGAAGTTATGGTCTGATATGCGTGAATATCGAAAGGAACTGAGATCTTTGGGATTTAAACACCGCATAAGTTTCATCAAAATCGGATGAACATTGTGACCTCTAGAGGGTTCACAACCTTTGTAATTTGGACTCACGAAATTTGGACTCAACCGTCATTCCGGTGTAACAGTAATGGGCTATATTTAAACGTTTTTTTTTAAATCAGATAAAAATTGTGACCTGTAATCTAGATGAGGGACAACAAACTAAAAACTTGATTTTCATACAACCAAGGGCCATAATACATGAAGTTATCATCCGATAAGTTTCATCAAAATCGGATAAAAATTGTAACCCCTAGAGGGTCCACAACCTTGATATTACATACTTTGTCGGGCAATTTCGGTCCGATTTTCAATTTGAATTCGTATTCAACTACCATTATTCTGTAACAGTGATATATTTGAACGGTTTTTAAAATCGAATAAAAATTGAGACCTATAAAACGCAATCTTTCGTAATATCAGAGTCCATAATCCAGGAAGTTATATGCAAATCTCTACTTTGCCTTGGAAGAAAATGCTCCGCATCAAACTTTGTTAAGGTATTGATATAATGAAACTATACACCAAGTTTCGACACTCTCACTTAATTAGAACCAAAGTTATTGTGTCCCAAAGCATTTACCAATCAAATTGCTTAACTCTGCTTACCGGGCCCTAAGCAAAAAATGCTCATCTTCTAACTCCATAAAGGCATTCGCCTAATGAATGCCTACACCAACTTTCAACATTCTACCTCTATTCATAGGAGAGTTAATGTGTTCCAACGTCTCAACCAATCAAATTGCTTATCGCTCTGCTTACCCTGAGCAGCAAATACTCATTAATGAATCTAGTCAAGGTATTGATGTAATGAAACTATACACCAAGTTTCATCACTCTCACTTAATTATCCTGTCCCAAAGCATCAACCAATCAGATTGTTTATCTCTGCTTACCCTAAGCAGAAAAAGCTCATCTTCGACTTTTCATACAATCAGGGACCATAAACCAGGAAGTTATTGTCCAATATGCACAAATATCGACAGGAATCAAGATCTGTGGTTTATAAACATACAATTCTGGTGTCAAAAAAAATCGGGTAAAAATTGTGACCTCCAGACCGTGCCGGACTGGGCCCACCTGTCCATGACAGTTTGGCCTAAGCTCATTAAAAAAAAGTGGGCCTAAGTCTATAAAGAAAAAAGAAAAAGAGAAAGAAAAAAGAAAAAAAGGAAAGATAAAGAAAGGAAAGGGGGAGGAAAGAAAAGAAAGAAGGAAGGAGAGCACAGGACAAGAGAAAGAAAACGTTTTTGTTTTTGACATTGAAGAGAATTCTCAAATTCATCTAATGATAGTGCTCTTAGGTCATTCTGTTATCTAATTGTATCAGGAAATCAAAAATTTGCCTTCTTCTGGTTTGGTCTGAAATGCTTGGAAAATGGGTTTGCGGTTGTCAATTTTCAAAATTTTCCAAACCCCCCATCGGACGTTCGAGCGTCTTCGGCGCGTACTTGTGCGGGCCTTGGTCAATGACCTGAAGGCCCACCAGTCCGGCACTGCCTCCAGAGTGTCCACAAGCTAACAAATCTGTTAAGCTTTTGCCCGGCATTAAGTCAAAAGTGTTTAAATTTGTCCCTTCTGGGTTACCCTTTTCAGCTCCGCCAATTATTATTCCTGCCAAATTTAAAAGAAATCTCTTTAACCACTGTAAAGTTTTAGATTACCTAAATTTTCTTCTTAAAGGTGTCCCTGTCCAGCTATAGAAGGGCAAGCAACTTTATCTGCACAAATCTGATGAATAAACACCCCCATGGCAATCTATCAACCAAAATTCGTTGGAATCCAAGCACTTTTACCAGACGACTGATCAATATGCCGATATATAAATTACCTTTGGTTTATTTTGATATAAAATTCCTCTTCAATATCAGCTGAGCAATACTTCTTCTCAATGTCAATGTTAGTTGACTCTGCAATATCTTGCCAGTTACCATCTTTGTCTGCATACTGCCACTGGTACAATATCTTCTTATGGACATTTCGACATTTCTCCTTATACAAACATTTTCCACGTAAATAAAATAGGCATATGTTTGGGACTCCATCAAATGCTATGTTTGAAGAGATTGTAGATACTTGTCGCATTGCCCTAGATGGCCATGAAGATGGTCGGTCAATGGCAGAACTATCAAATTTATGGCGATATTGTGGACTGCTTGCTTCTGAAAACCGTCTTGGTTTTAGATTAGATCTTGAACTGGATTGACTACCTACAGAAGACAAAGAAGGTGCATCAGACAGCCTCCCTCTTCTCATATCAGGGTCATCTTCATGAGTTTCAACTCTATCATACAAATCTTTCAAATAATTTAATATTTCTCTCGGAGGTTTACTTGTATCAATGCCATATCTATTTAAGGATTTCTCTATGCTATGAATGCTGTGATTCCTTTTACATCTTGGTCCAAATTTACAGGTGCCCCTAACACAATGTTGACAAATATGTAGACAGGTACATTGATCACCCTTCTTACATCCCCCTCCTCCATTATAAAACTTACACAACATGGGTATTCCTGCTT